AGACCCCCCCGGCGACCCGCGGAACACCCCCTCCAGGCCCAGGGGGAGGGGGTAGGGGGAGGGGTAAACCCCTCCCCGAAGGGGAAGAAGGGGGGTTGAGGACAGAGAGAGCTCGCTGAACCACTCACGCCCAAAGGGCTGGTGGGATTTGAGGATGTCTCGAGCGAAACGCTTGTTTTTCAGAATTTGTTGAGGATGTCTCGAGCGAAACGCTTGTTTTGTGTTATAGATTGTCCTCTCCTGGGGGCCTGAATTCTGAGGATCTCTCAAGTGGATTCGTGCCCTGGTCTTGAGGATGCCTCGAGCGAGACGCTTGGTTTCACGCCTCCAGGTGGCCCAGACAGATGTCTAGCATGAGGATTTGTTGAGGATGTCTCGAACCAGAGGCTTGTTTTCACGTGTCCAGGTCGCCCAGGCGGATGTCTAACATGAGCATTTGTTGAGGATGTCTCGAGCGAGACGCTTTGTTTGCACGTGTCCAGGTTGCCCAAGCGGATGTCTAGCATGAGGATGTGCTGACAACGTCTTGAGCGAAACGCGTGTTTTCACGTGTCCAGGTCGCCCAGGCACAGCACAGCCCTCGGCACGGTACATCAATATCGATACCTTTAGCATTGCAGCCTGGCATGTTGCTTGGCACGTTCCGCGGAGCGTCCCGTGGCGAGTCCCCCTGGCACGTCGCGCGGTGCACGTCCATTGGCACGTTCCGTAGCGCGTCCCCTTGGCACGTCCCGCGGTGCGTGCCCATGGCACGTCCCCTGGCACGTCGCCTGGCGCGTCCCTTGGGACGTTCCGCGGCGCGTCCTCTTGGCATGTTCCCTCTGTCGATTAGTTCTGGGGCAGCTACCATCTGCTCAGGCAGCTCGAGCTTACGATCCAGATCAGTTCGGTGAGGACTCGGATGCCAGGGAGGACTCGATCCACAACGCTATATCTATATCTATAGAGAGAGAGAGAGAGAGAGAGAGCACAATCGCGGCATGACGCATCGCAGTTCAGCACGGCCCAGCACAGCACAGCCGTCGGCACGGTACATCAATATCGATACACTCAACTATACACTTTGGCACGAGAGAGAGAGAGCACAATCGCGGCATGACGCATCGCAGTTCAGCACGGCCCAGCACAGCACAGCCGTCGGCACGGTACATCAATATCGATACACTCAACTATACACTTTGGCACGTTCCTTGGCGCGTTCCGTGGCGAGTCCACCTGGCACGTCGCGCGGCGCGTCCCATGGCACGTCCCTCGGCACGTCCATTGGCACGTTCCGTAGCGCGTCCCCTTGGCACGTCCCACGGTGCGTCCCCATGGCACGTCCCCTGGCACGTCGCCTGGCGCGTCCCTTGGGACGTTCCGCGGCGCGTCCTCTTGGCATGTTCCCTCTGTCGATTAATTCTGGGGCAGCTACCATCCTGAGCAGCTCGAGCTTACGCTCCAGATCAGTTCGGTGAGGACTCGGATGCCAGGGAGGACTCGATCCACAACGCTATATAGAAAACAATCGCGGCATGGCACATCGCAGTTCAGCACGGCGTAGCACAGCACAGCCCTCGGCACAGTACATCATCATCGATACATTTAGCATTGCATGTGCCCGTCGCCCAATCAGGTGTCTTTGAAATGTTACAATGCCTTACATTTCTATATTCCTTTCCGGGTTCGTGGGTCGATCATGTTCTACTGCGCTGTCCCAGCGCGTTGGGCTGCCACGAGGCAGATCCTGCAGGACCAAGATTCAGCTGCGCGTGAGAGCGACCCTTCGCCAAATTGACCTTTGGTGCGGGCCCACCAGGGCTCCCTCAGGCACTGGCCCACGCGCTTGGATCTGGCCCCCTCCCTCCCCCGCAGCCCCCCCCCCAAGCTGCACACCAAAGGTCACCCCTACCTGCAGGGCCACGCCCTCCGTGCCACCGAGAGCTCATGGCAGCGTCTCCTTTCCCGATCCGCCCCAGGTTCTCCAGACACACATACCGCTACCCTTGCCTCGTTTGCGCCTCGTTGGGCCTCCTGGGAGGCCCTCGTCGCCACCGCTGGATTCGCCTCGGGAGTCTGGTCAGAAGGCACCCCAGGAGAGGGCCATGAAGCATCGGTATCGATACCGTCTGGTGCCTCAAATATCTTGCATGCCTCGCCCTGATGAGATTGGTAAGAGCGGTTTTCACAATCGTTGGCCACGATATGTTGGGGGGTCACGGCATTGTTGTGAGGTGTACGTTGATTTACCTCTCTCCTTCTTGTTCTATCTTCGAGTCGGCGACTACGAGGCGTCGGCGACTACGAGGCGTAGCTCGCGACGCACACATTCGAGATCCGATGTCAAAAAGGTTGCTCCTAATGTGGTTTCCTCGCTCTCGGCCCTCCTTTCCCCCTCCTCCATTCCTGCCCCCGCGGCCTCTCGCGTTTAATTTTGACGAGGGCCGGCAGAAGTCTCCACGGGCATGCTCCCGCAGAAAGGCACTCGGGATTACACGCACGCCCGAGCTGCTCAAGCATGTCGTTTTCCCCGCCGCTGCGTTCGCAGAAAGGCACCCGGGGTTGCACGCACACCCGGGCTGCTGACGCAGTTTTTCTGTTTACTCGACGCTTCCGCGCGCCATCCGCCGCCATCAGCCTCTTCTCTCCTGGTGGCCTCTCGGGACGCCTCTTGGGGGCCTCTTGGGGCTTCTTGGGGATCTCTTGGGGCCTCCCGGGAGCGTCTCGGGCCGAAAGGCTAGACTTTTCGGTTCGTGGTCCCCATCTTGGGGCCGTCTTGGGGCCCTCTTGGGCCGTCTTGGGCGCCTCTTGGGCCGTCTTGGGGCTTGGGGCCCTCTTGCGCCGTTTTGGGGGCCTCTTGGAAGCCTCTTGGGCCGAACGCCAGGGCTCCCGGTACGAACGGTGGTGTGAGTCATTTCGGTTTATGTTGCTGCAGCGCTCTTTCCGTTTCTGTGCCGGGCCAGGTCTAATGGTTTTCGGCCCTTCCCGCCACCGTGTTTGGGTTGTGGTTCTGAGGCCTCTTGCATGTTCGTTGGGATCTCGTCGAGGCCTCCTGGAGGCAGTGTTGAGGCCTCTGGGGGCTGTTTTGGGGCCTCTTGGGGCGTCTTTTCGACCTCTTGCGGACCTCTTGGGGCCTCCTGGGGGCCTCCTGGGGGCGTCGTGGGGCCTCCAGGGCGCCTCCTGGGGTGGAAGGCTAGGATCGTCACGTCGTGCTCCCCCTCTTGGGGCCTCCTGGGCCTCTTGGGCCCTCTCGGGGCCCTCTTGGGAAGGCTCCTGGAGGCCTCTTGGAACGTCTGGGGCGCTGTTTCGGCCGCTTGGAGGCTATCTAGAGCGTCGTGGGCCGCTCGTTCGGCTGAAGGGCTTGTCTGACCGTCATCTTGGAGGCCCTCTTGGACCGTCTGAAGGGCTTCTTGGAGCCCTCTTCGGCCGTCTTTGCGCCTGTCGAAGGCCGAAAACAAACCATGCGACAAGGCGCCCGGGAGGTGCGCGGGAACCCCCAAGAGATGTTTGAGAATTTGGGGCCCGGCCCCGTAAAGAATCCTCCGGATTGAAGATCGGGGCCCAGGGGTTGAGCAAGGGACTTGGGGACATTAGTCCGCGTGCCAGCACAAGGAAACGCCAAGTTCAAACGCCAATGAGCATAGCAGCAGCACGCCGTTCGCATTGAATCGCGCGGCGATGTCGTTGGCCGACCGTCGAGCAGTTTCCGCGTGCAGTTCGCGCTTCGTTTGACGGTCCAAGTGGTCTAAAGTTCCTCATGTGGGGGGCGGGGGGCGTCTTCATGCGTTCATCAGAGACTGCGTGCCACATGGGCACGGTGGCAGATCTATCACGCAGGGGCTCAGAGGTGTAGCAGAGACATCCCGGCACTGCCCCCAAGTGTCCTCTCCATGTACCCTTCACCTCCCTCTCATCCCTCCTCCCTTGCTTCCCTCCTCAACCTCCCCGCCTTCGACCTCATCCTCCCCCTCTTCCTTCCTCCACATCCTCACCTCCATCGCCCCATCCTCATCCTCCTCACCCTTCTCCTCCTCGTTGTCCTCCTCCTCCTCCTCCTCCTTCTCCTCCTCCTCCTCCTCCTCCTCCTCCTCCCCCTCCTCTTCCCACCTGGGTCCCCCCCTCGCCTCAGGCTCAGTATGGCCCCAGCAAAACCTCGGTCGAGGCTCTCCCACAGCAGTGCCGAGAATAAGCCTGTTATTGCGACCAGTTTCAATTTGACTCTTAGCGCGTTTCTCGACGCGATGAATCAAAGCACTCGACCGCAGCCGAACTGTGCGATTTGGGTCGCCATGTTGATCTCTTGCGTACGTGTTGAGGCAATGTTCCCACACTTGTTCGCATGCGCATCGTTAGCCGTCAGTCTGGTTTAGAAGAGCCCCACACTTGATAAATCGTTGATGGGCTCGGTATTGACCAAAATGCATCGACATGCGTTGATCGTCTGGCTTGGTTTTCTCACGCTTGTTCGGCGAACGAAAACCATGATTGAAACAATCACCACGTCAGGTGTCGGATTTCTGGACATCTCACATACGGGTAGCAAAGACGATGCCTTGCACCTTGGACTGAACTGCGTGTCCGGATGTTCCGGCAACGAGTCGTGTTGAAAGTCCGATGAGAAACAGAGACCACCGCCACCGAAGGCCCATTGGGAGGGGGTCGACCTTTGGGCTGTGGCACGTCCGAGCGCCACCCACTACCAGACGACGCTCAGGCGTACCACCGCTCAGTGGTGGGTTCACCCCGATGGGATCTCGGTGGCGGTGGTTTCTGGCGGTGGCTTCTCGATGGCGCTCTGGTGCCATTTTGCCGGGCCCTCGCGGCCCACAGCGACAAGTTTCGTGCCTCCGTGCCTCCGAGAAACCAAAAAAAAACTGGCAATGTTGCCGGTATTGGTTTCCCTCCCTGGTCAGTCTCCGTTTCGGTGCACTTCTGCTGGGCTCCGCTGCCACGCCACGACCCGCCCGCGCTCGCCGCTCGCCGCCCCCTTCAAAAGCCCGGGGCGCGCCCGCTCCCCGCAGCTGCCGAGACGTCCCCGCGGACGGAGCGCGGGCGGACTGCCAGCTGGGCCCGTGGGGCGAGTGGTCCGCGCACCCCCCCGCGGCTCACCGCAAAGTGCCGTGGGAGGCCCTCGGCGGCCGTTGGCGGCCCTCGGCGGCCCTCGGCGGCCCTCGGCGGCCTTCGGCGGCCCTCGGCGGCCCTCGGCGGCGTCCGGCGGCCCTCGGCGGAGGCGGCCCACGGCGGTCTTCGGCGGCCCTCGGCGGGCCCCGCGGGCCGCCGATCGGCCACCGCACGGTGGGCGGTGTTGGGGCGGGGCATCGGCTGCGCAGACATGCGCGCGCAAGCTGGCAGCGTGAGGTCGGTTCATCAGAGGAGAAGAGGGCACTCCTACCGCTACGCCTCCCTCGTTTTGCCCTTTTGGGGCCTCTTGGGAGGCCTTCGTCGCCACCGCTGGATTCGCCTCGAAATCCTGGTCAGAACGCACCCCGGGAGAGGTCCGGGGAGTAGCGGTATCAGTACTTGTTGGTTGCCCCAGAGAGGTCGGTTCCCAACATTTCGGTTTTTTGGTGTGTCTCAATCGAGGTGGCGCCGCGCTCCCAGCTGATGTTTGACAGTGCCGCGAACTGGAGAATGCGGTCATCAAGTCGTGGGTTCGTGAATGAATTGCATGTCCTACCACGAGGCACGATTGAGCGCCCGTCGTTGTCCTGGGTTTCTGGATCATTCTGACGAGAGCGGGCGCATGCGCCTGTGCCAAAATTATGTCTCCCTCAGGTCTACATGCTCGTCATCCTGCGGCCCTGGCACGCGCAACAGGGCGCGATCGACAACTCTAGCTACAGGCGGCGATGGGTTGTGGTGCGCGTTGGAGTCGAGACCTCTCTCTTCCCGCCCTTTCAGCTGTCTCCCCAACCGTCCTGTTGTGTTGGGCCCTCGTTTTGAAGAGACCACGCCCTGCGTTCCCCACCCTTTCTCTCGCAGGCCTAGAGGTTGACACTAACACCGATATCGGCGGTGTGCATCCACCGAGGGAAGAAGATCCCGATCTCGGTGATGGTTGTAGCATCCTGGCTTCCAAGGTGGCCGAAATATCACCACCAGCACCGAAATCCTCCCCCCGTGGAGGCAACCCCCTGTGTTGGTGTTGGTGCCCATGTCCAGGCCTCCTAGAGGAGATTGTTTTGTAGGGTCCAGCGATAACCTGGGTTATCGGGCTTCCCCTCCTCCCCCCCCCAGGACAACCTGACCTTGCCAGTTGTGCAGGTCCGGGGTGGGGGGGCGCGGGCATATGCAGGGCTGCCCACAGCGCGAAGGTTAGGTGATTGGCAGGCCCCCTCCTCCCCCCCCACCGGATAACCCGGGTTATCGCCGATTCTAGAAAACGGTCTCTTATTCCTCCGCAGCCGCTGAGCGCGGTTCCCAGGCGCCTCCGCCCCCGCAGGCGCCCGCGCCTGCTCGCGGGCCGACGGGGGGGAGGGCGCACCGAGCCTCCGCGTTGTGGCGCTCGGCCGTGGGGCCTAGCAGCGCGCTCAAGTGAAGCAGACGCAGCATCTCGTGCAGAACGGTGTAGTGGGAGGAGGAGGAGGAGGAGGAGGAGGAGGAGGAGGAGGAGGAGGAGGAGGAGGAGGAGCGGAGGGGAGGAGGAGGAGGAGGAGGAGGAGGAGGAGGAGGAGGAGGAGGAGCAGGAGGAGGAGGAGGAGGAGGAGGAGGAGGAGAGGAAGGTTGGTAGATGGTGGGCGCTCTCGGGCCTCTGCCCCTCTGCCTCCTCTTCCTCCTCCTCGGGCCCGCTCTCGCTCCTGCCTGTGCAGGGCTTGCCCGACTCCTCGTCTGTGTCGCACTGTTGGGCTCGGTATCGTTTAGCCGATCCCCATCGCTCGGCCATGGGGCCTAGCAGCGCTCAGGTGAAGCAGACGCAGTATCTCGTGTTGTGGACGCCATCACTCCAGCAATCTTATCATTGAATCGAGGATGTGTTTGAAATGGTTAATCCACGTTTACAATATGTATATATACATGTTTTAGACTTGTTTGAAACATGTTAGACATCTGGAAATTGTTTGGCTGCAGACTTCCTCTCCGTTGATCGACTTCCACAAATCTCGCGTAGAACAATGTAATTGCACACCCTTGTCCACAACGTTGGGGTTCGTAGTCTTCTCTGGCGTCAGGCAGGCCGGTCTCGCTTTATGTTTGATGGCACCATCTGGTTGTAGGCCGTGGCGAAGGCCGCCTCGACGCCGAGGAGGAGCTCGAAGTAGGCGGCTACGCCTGGCTGCCCTTCGGCGTCTGCCCGGTCATAGCATGTTCGGAGCACCATGCCGATGCGCATCGGGTCCTGGAAGCTGTACTTGTGAGCCGCCTGCTGGAGCGCAAGCCCAAGCGCTTGTTCGGTCATAAGGCCTACAGGTTCCAGGCAGGCTGCCCTGACCCTGATGTACTCAGAGCCTGCGTTGACTACCCAGCGGTCTGCTGCCTCATCATGCAGTGGAGGCCCATACCAAGAAAACACCCTGCTCGCCTCCAGGGTGCCCTGGGCTTCTTGGGATTCGATGGTTTTGCTGTGGAAAAAGCCTGACGATCCCACGCGATAAATCGGTGGGCGTCCTGGGGTTCCAGGGCTGGGTTTCTTGTGGAAGGTGTCTTGTGGACCTGGCCTCCGCTGCAGGGCCCGAGCGTACCTCCCCGCCCCTTTTGGCAGCGGGCGGGCCGTGGTGCCGACGAGGCGCCAGGTAAAGGCCAGATGGGCGAGCGTCGGGCTCTCCCGCGGGCACCTCCTGCTGCGGCCCAGCGCCGTCAAGGCTGAAGGCCCTGCGCCTCCCAGCGGTCGTCGCGGCTCAGCTGGGGGTCCTCGCAGCCCTGCCTGTGGCCCTGGAAGCTGTGCTTGTGGTCCTCGTAGTTGAGCCGGTGGCCCTCGTCTCAGAGGCGGAGATCGGAGGTCGATAGACCTCCTACCCTGACACGGCGATTAGCGAATTGGCCGTTTTCGGTTCGCGAGAGGTCGTCGCGGCCGTCATTTTTGCGGGTCCAGGTCCGTCGGATTCTGTCCTAGGCCGTTTTCATTAAAGTCATTAAAGGGTGGTTTATTAAAGGGAGGTTTGTCCAACGCCGAGGAGAAGGTACCCATACCTGTACCCCTCCCCCGTTTTCCCCTTTTTCGCCCTACTGGGAGGTTCTCGTCGCCACCGTTGGGTTCGCTTCGAAATCCTGGTCAGAACGCACCCCGGGAGAGGTCCAGGGAGTGGTGGTATCGGTACCTGTTGGTTTCCCCATTCGTGGTCCTCATAGTTGAGTTGGTGGCATTCGTCCGTCTGTTGGAAGCTCTGGGATGGTTCAGCAGGTGGCCCAGGTAGAGCTCTGCCAGTGGTTCCCGGTAGCTCAGGTTGCGGTGCTCGTAGCCGTGCGTGTGGTCCTCGTGTTATAGCTTGTGGCCTCTTAGCTCAGTCGGTTGCCCTTCTAGCTCTACTGGTGGCTCTTGTAGTTCAGCAGGTGGCCCTCGTTTCCCTGCTTGTGGTCCTCGTAGTTCAGCCTGTGGCCCTCGTAGCTAAGCGAGGTGCCCTCGTAGCTCTGCTGATGGCTCTTGTAGCTCCGCAGGAGGCCGTGGTACCTCGCCGGGTGCCTCTCGTGGCTGGGCTGGAAGTCCTTGTAGCCTTACTTGTGGCCCTCGTAGCTTTGTTCGTAGCCCTCGTAGTTAGCTGGTGGCACTCGTACGTCTGTTGGAAGCTCGAGTAGCTCAGCAGGTGGCCTGGGTAACCCTGCCAGTGGCCTCCGTAGCTTAGATTGTGGTCCTCGTAGCCCCTCTGTGGTCCTCGTAGTTCAGCCTGTGGCCTTCGTAGCTGAGCTGGTTGCCCTGGTAGCTCGAAGGACCCAGCCGCATGCAGCTGTGAGTATCGCCTTCAGTTTATGGGGCTACGGAGCGTGTGAAGCGTGTGCCGAAACGGGGCGGAGCCGCAATGCTGGCGCTGCCACTGGTGCTTTAAGTAGCGCCCCTTCTTGGCCACACAACGTGTGAGGAGTGTGCCCAAATGGGGCGGGGCCGCGATGCGGGCGCTGCCTCTGGGGCCTATGGTGGAGCCCCCATATGGGACCAAGAACCGTGCGAGGGGGGGAGACGCGTGCGAACGTCGCCACTGGGGCCTTAGGTGGAGCTCCCTGTGGGGTCACGAACAGTGTGAGGAGCGTGCCGAACTGGGCGGGCGGGACGCATGTGAACGTTGCCATTGGGGCCTTAGGTGGAGCCCCCTACTACGGGGGCATGAAACGTGCGAGGCGTGTGCCGAAATCGGCGGGGGGACGCACGCGAACGTCGCCATTTGGGCCTTAGGTGGAGCTTCTGATGGGGTGAAAAAACGTGTGAGAGGTGTGCCGAAATCGGTAGGGGGGGACACATGTGGAGCCTCCCACTCGGGCCTCAGGTGGAGCTCTCAAAGAATCCATGAGACGTATGAGGTGTTTGCCGAAATAGGCGGGGGGGAGCATGCGAACGTCGCCTCTGGGCTCTTCGATGGAGCTCCCTGGGTGGTCACGAAACGTGTGAGGGGTGCGCCGAACTCGTTGACTTGCGGAGAGCAGAGGCAGGCATGGAAGGAGGGAAGGATGGGAGAATAGGAGGAGACGCGGGGCGTTGTCTCTTTCCAAACGAAGACCCAACACCACAGGATGGTTGAGACAAAGGATAGTGAGAAGTATGAGGATGTGGAGGGGTGGAGGGAGGAGAGCACGTTACGCGGGTCAGGTGTGCGGATGACAAGGACGATGATTGTGCTGATCACAGTGCGACGACCGGCGACGACAATGACGACGACGACGACGACGGCGACGACAACGACCACGATGATGACGGCGACGACGACGACGACGACGACGACGACGACGACGACGACGACGACGACCGCTGCGCCCCGCGGAGGCGGCGGCAGGCCCTGCGAGGGGAGCCTGCAGGAGCAGGGTCCCTGCGTGCGGGCCTCGGCCCCCCTTGCCCGAGGGGGGCTCCAGGACCACCTCCTGCTCCCCCCCCTCCTCCTCCCCCTCCTCCTCCTCCTCCTCCTCCTCCTCCGTAGCCATTTTGGCTCAAGATGACGACCTGGGGGGCTGTCCAGCCTCCAGGCCGAAGGGAGACCTCTGGACCGAGGACAGTTCCCAGACGGGCGTCGGGCGCGCGCGCGGCACCGGTGCAGCCATGGGGAGTGGCGGCGGCGGACGCGGGGCGGGCAGCGCCTGGTCGGGGACCCCGAATCGCCAGAGGGTTCCCCCGTGGAAGAAGAGCAGCAGTGGCAGTCGCCCTCCTCGCAGCAGCTACGTGGTGTGTGACGGGTGCAGCAGATGGCGCTACTGCAAGAATATCACCAGCAGGGGCGACCTCTGCATCTGCGGCAAGAACCTCGCCTGCCTCGTCCCCGACGGTCATGTCTTCCGTGACGACGATGGTGGGTGGCTGGCAGCACAGCCCCAAGGAGGAACCTCGCCCAGGATCAGCTGGGCAGATGGTTGGCAGCCAGGTGGTGGTGCAGGCGGGAAAGGACAAGGAGGCCAACGCCAGCCACCACCTCACGACAAGACTGTCGACCTCAAGGCTGCCGCCGCAGCAGCTTACAGCGAGCTCAGCAAGGACGACCCGCTCAGGCAGTACTACGAGGCCCTGTGGCCAGAGCTCGCCGCAGCCAAGCCACCAGCAGACCAACCAGTCGTTGGATTCAAGGCAGTGGAGGCAGCTGCTCGACGCTTGGACAAACTCCAGAAGAAAGTACGATCGGCAGGGGAGCAAGTTGAGAGTGCCCAGCAGTACTTGGCTGAGAGTGAACGCAAGCTTCGTGAAGCCATGGAAGCCTCCATTGCAGCCGAAGATGAGTTCGACAAGCTCAAGGCCACAGTCGGCAAGCAAGAGGCACCAGCTGAACCTGCAGCCGAGAAGCCAACTCTGGCAGCCCTCCTGGAGCAGTTCGAGCATGAGCCTGACGACTTCCACAAGTGGTCCGAGCCCGACAAGGAGGTCTGGCGAGCAGCAAAGGCCAAGGGCGAGCGCATGGCCCAGACGGTCAAGGAGCACGAGGAGGAGACGGCGAAGCACCTGCGACTACTGGAGGAAGAGACGGCCAGGCACCAGGAGCAGCTGCGCCAGCTCGAGCAGGCCCGCACCAAGCGCCTGTCAAAGAGCGGAGAGCAAGACCCAGAAGCAGCAGAAGCCCCACCAGGCAAGCGTGTCTGCGCCGCCAGCCCAGCCCCTCAGCGAGGTGCCACCACATGCACTGAGGCAGCAGGGACAGCCGCCGCGGCTGCGCCCACCGGCGCCGCAGCAGCTGCCCAACCAGAAGCAGGCGCAGCAGAACATGACAAAGCAGAAGAAAGCCGAGCCAGAGTGGAGGCCCACATCCAGGAGGCGCGAGAGAAGGTCTCGCAGGCTAGGCGCGCCGAGACAGTCGTCGACGCAGAAGGGCAGGGTGACCACTCAGCAGGGTAGCCGCCCCAAGGCGAGCGCGAAGAAGGCTCGCCGCCCGTGCCGCATCGACTTCTTCAACGTCACGACCTGGGGCCCCCAGGTACAGGGCTACCTCATGGAGATCAACAATACCAAGGACAGGGACATCATTGGCATCGCGGAGCACCACCTCCGCCAGCCTGCGCAGATAAGCAAGGCAAGAGCGGCGCTCAGGAGGAATGGCACGCACAGCTACTGGACCAAGGCACGGCCAGGAGAAGGAGAAGGCACTCGAGGAGGCACGCGTGCCATCACGCGAGGATCCTTGGACATTCAGGACAGGATCGCGGGTTTAGATGAGCACTACCTGCACGAGGACGGCAGTGACGTCACGGTGGTGATCTCCAACCTGCACAAGGTCCGTTTCGCAGTGGCTTTCGTCTACCTTGAGTGTGGGACGGGCTCTGGAGAGAGGAACGCCGACATCCTCTGCGACCTGCGGGAGAAGATGGCCGTCTGGGGAGGGCCTGGGCAGCGCTCGGGGACTTCAACATGACGCCGTCGGAGTTCAACAGCAGCATTTGGCCCAGGGTGCTGAATGCTCAAGTAGCTGCCGCGGAGGATGGCGCCCCCACATGTTTCCCAGCAGTAGGTGAAGCCAGGTGCATCGACTTCGCGCTGATCTCGCAGGGCCTGGCGCCGTATTTCGACCAGCTGGAGCTGCCCAGGACCGCGCCGTGGAAGCCGCACATCGGCATCCGCTTGAAGTTGAAGGGGCGGCCTCTCATGCTCAAGGGCAGGGTACTTCGCAGGCCAGCAGCCATAGAGCCGCCAGTCACAGTCGAGAGAATGCCGAAGTCCAGAGCCGCTTGCAGACGAGCGGCGCGCGGAGGCCAGGAGGCCATGCGCCGACGTCAGCAAGCGCTGGCAGAGGCAGGATGCGACCTGGACGAGAACGACATGGAGCCAGTGCCGCAGCTGCACTACGACAAGGAGGTCCAGCACGTCATCCCTGACGAGCTGCGGCAGGCCACCTCGGAGCGGGCCAGCGTGCGCGCCTACGACGAGTTGCCCCAGCACTTGCAGCACACAGTCGTCGGCAAGATGATGGAGCGGGACATGCTGGACCTGGGGCAATAGTACGACCGCTTCGCAAGCACCCTCGAGCTCAGCCTGCGCGAGAGCATCGGCATCCCAGAGGAAGAGCGTGGACGACATCTCGGGCACAGCAGGCCCCCGAGCTACAAGAGCGCGAGCATCAAGGACACCGTCACCTCTACGCCATGGGCAGGGGTCGAAAGGAAGATCCACGCGTGGTGGGCGGAGATTTCCTCCTTGGCGCGGCAGCTCTCGCACCGTGATGCCCGAGCGCAGGAGGCAGCAGCAAGTCGACAGGGCAAGACCCAGGCACTTCCCGATGAGGACTCAGGAGGTGGACAGGGCCCGTCGGCGCCGGAGCTTGGCCCCGTCATGTCTGGCAGCCAGGTAGGCCACGAAGACGGGGTTCCCGCACCAGCCATGAGCCCATCGAAGAGCTCGGGAGGAAGCTCGGGGGATCGCGCCCCCACCGAGCGGGGTGAGGGCCCCCCCGAGCTGCAGCAGCGGCGTGCAGGCAGTGGAGGCGCAGCAGGAGGCGGCGGCAGTAGCACCAAGGACATCGCGAATCAGCCAGCACTTGAGGAGGTCCCCCCTCCTCAGGCTGAGGTCCAGGAGCTCGCAGAGGGGCCAGCCCAAGAGAGCCCAGAGCGACCCTGCCTCAGCCCAGCATCGCCGCCAAAGGGCGCGTCCTGGACCTCCGAGACGGGCGCAGTTTTCCAAGAGATGAGGGCGAGGCGGCCTGGCCCAGAGAAAGAGGTAGGCCCCTCCTCACTCTCCTCGGGGCACCCATCCCCCACACAGGCGAGCGCAGCGGACCATGGGAAGGCAGCTGGCCCCTGCTCTGAGATGGGTCAGGGGTTCCCGTCCCCCGAGTGCGCCGCCACGGGGCGCGTCCCAGACCTCGACGTGGGACCAACCCACATCAGCGCAGACAGCTGCACAGAAGGGATGCAGAGGGGTGCCCTTCCCCCACCAGCAGGACGCAACACCATGGACATCCAAGATCACGACCCCTTCGAGGATGAGGAGGACTACTTGGAGTACCGCCAGGAGATCGCAGACCAGGAGAACAGCGATGGGTACCACCAGCACATCGAGGGGCAGCAGGACAGCTTCGAGTTCGGCCAGACCGTTCGCCGTCGTGCAGCTGGATCTGCCTTTCCCCCACCAGCAGGACGCAGCACCATGGACGTCCAACACCACGACCCCTTCGAGGAGGAGGAGGACTGCTTGCAGCACCGCCAGGAGACCGCAGATCAGGAGGACTGCGACGGGCACCACCAGATCATCGAGGGGCAGCAGGACAGCATCGACTACGGCCAGACCGTTCGTCGTCATGCAGCTGGATCTGGTAAAACTGCCCCAGGTGACACGCACTGCTCACCTCCTCAGCCAGCTGGCACTCTGGAGGCAGAGGGTACCGATCACCTGGGGAGTCAGAACCAAGCGCCGCCAGGCCCAGAGGCAGAGGAGCCACGAGATATGGGCCTGCCCCCACCAGACCTCTGGATTGATGACCAGCACCAGCGGGAGCGGGAAGACTACGTGGCCATGAGAGACGACCTGGAGTACTGGGCGGCCATCTGGATGGATAACTTGGTGCAGCTCCCCACGGACAACGGCAACTGGATGCAGATATGTGTGCCGTTCATGGAGACCATCTTGGGTGGCGGAGGCAACAGTGGCATGGTGGGACTGCTCAGGCGTAGGTACCAGCAGGCCGGCCTCAGCCACATCATCAGGGACCTCTGCGAGCGAGCATGGAGACATGCAGAACCACGACGCCGAGGCTTTCTCCAAGGTCTTACGCGAGAGGAGCCGACGAGGAGGCACGAATTGGAAATGATGCATTGGAGGGAGCTTGCTAACCTGCGGAGGTTTATGCGAGAAGTTATAGGCGAACGAGCACCAGAAGGAGCAGCGCGAAGACAACTACATGATGCTCCAGGAACAGGCAGTGGCCCGAGTAGCCGCCGAGAGCTGCAGGTCCGCACCCACAGCGGCCACCAGACGCAGCAGCAGATCAACACAAGACGGCAGCTCGCGCAGCAGCTCAACCAGCCTGGCCCAGGCAGGCTGAACGAAGAAGGTGCAGCCAAGGACCAGCAGCAGGCCCTCCTCACAGACCTGCACGCGATAGCAGAGGGCGCCCTCGTGGACCCAGGGACGATCAGCAGGGTAGCAGAGGAGGTAAAGAGCATGGCCAAGCTACTCACAAAGGCGGTGGAGAAGGCGTACATCTACTGGGTGCACGACGCCACGGCAGGCAGTGCGAAGATGGCCCACGCCTACACCAAGGCAGCGGAGCGCAGCCACCTGGAGGACACCTTTGAGCACGAGGGCCAGGTCATCAACCACCCGCAGCAGCTGGTGGACTTGCGCAAAGAGGCATGGCAACGCAGGTGGACACGAGATGCACAGAAGGCCGAGAGGATCCAAGAGGCGCTGGCCAAGCTGAGGCAGGCTGCCTTGGCCCAAGAGAATGCCCTCGAGCCCATCAGCAGGGACATCATCGGCTCCATCATCCAGCACCTGAAGCGCAATGCTGGCCAAGGAGCAGACTGGTGGAGGGCTCCAGAGCTCAAGGCCATGGGCGCCCAGGGGCTGGAAGACTTCGTGCAGTGCCTGACCAGCTGTGAGCAACGGGCAGCGTGGCCGTGGCAATTCTACTTGGCGCTGGAGCTGCTGCTGGGCAAGAAGCCAGGAATCGGCTGTGAGCGCCCCATCGGCCTCATGCCCATGCCGTACCGCATCTGGAGCGCAGCCAGGAGGCCCATAGTAGCCACCTGGAGCAAGGCAGCGGCGGGCTTCTGGGATACGGCAGTAGCTGGCTCCTCAGCGCTACGAGTGGCAATGCACAGACTGATGAGGGCAGAAGCCGCCACGGAGATGGGCTTTCATGCAGCAGGAGTCTTCGACGACGCGGCAAACTTCTACGACAACATAGGCCTCGACCAGCTGATCGAGAAGGCCAGCGCCTTCCAGTGCCCGTTGCTGCCGCTGGCAATGGCTGTGCAGATGTACATTGCGCCCAGGGCCATCATGGCCCACAGCCTCTTCTCGGACATCTTCGAGCCTGCCAACAGCATGGTAGCTGGCTGTGGCCAAGCGGTCGACCTCACCAGACCGCTCTTGCATGGCATCCTGGATGCAGCGCACAGGCACCACATCTTCGTCGTCATGCAGCAGTACCTGGACGACTTGGCCCTGCAGGTAGAGGGTGCGCGGCGGCAGGTCATTGACCAGATCAAGCACGTGGCAGCGCTGGTGCACGATGGATTCAAGCAGCTCTCGATACCCATCTCCGTCAAGACGGCAGTGGTGGCCTCGGACAAGGACCTCCAGGCAGAAGTCGCCAGCATCCTGGACAGCCTGGGCACCCCAACAAGCAACCAGGTGTAGTGCGCGACCTCGGCGTGGACACCAGCCTCGGCAAGCAGCTGCGGCGACCCACCCATGCCTGGGAAGGTGCGTCGCAGGACAGGTTTCGAAGCTCAGAATCGGCCAGCCCATGTTCAGGAAGGCCCCGCTTGCTGAACAGGACGTGGGAGGAGGAGGAGGAGGAAGAAGAGGAGGAGGAGAAGCAGCAGCAGAAGGAGGAGGGAGGACGGAGCAGGAAAATAAGGAGCAGAAAAAAGGAAGATGAGGAGGCTGAGGAAGAGAAGGTGGACGGACAGGGGGAGGAAAAAGAAGGGTGGGAGGAGGGCGAGGAGGAGGAGGGGGGGAGGAGGAGAAAAAGGAGGACAGGGAAGACGAGGCGGAGGAGGATAAGGAAGCGGAGGAGTGGGAGGAGGAGGAAAAAGAGGAAGAGAAGGAGGAACAGGAGGAGGAAAAGAATGAGACAGAGCAAGCGGGGAATGATTACGAGGAGGAGGAGGAGGGGGAGGAAGAGGAGGAGCAGAAGGAAGAGCAGGATGACGAGGACGAGGAACAGGAGAGACCCTGACGACACTCCGAAACTGCTCATCGTCTTGCCCCAGCTGCAACTTCACCGCAGTGCTGCGCTCCGCCAGCGAGGGAATGGAGCGCTGAGGGGGGGCGGAAGCGGAAAAAGGGCGAGGAAGAGGGCGGCGAAAGGCCAAACTGGCCACCGAAGTGGAAGGGGCTGACGGGGGAGGAATCAGGAAGGGGGAAAGGGTGAGGAGTGAGGAACAAGAGAAATAAGGAGGGATAAGATGACGATGGCGGCGAACGATGCATCCATTTCGACATGCGCATCGCAGCCTCGAGGCTCGAGGCGACGCAGCGCGCCCCCGCGCTGCTAACTAGACGGCTGACGCCGCGCCGTGACCCCGTCGGGAACCCGTCCGTCTCTGCCATTTCGTGCGTTAACCTTTCCTCCTCCTCCTCCTCCTCCTCCTCCTCCTCGTCCTCATTTCCTGGTCATGCTTCGCTCTCGCTCCTAAGTGGTCGGGGGAGTGAACTGTGCGATGCTGCTGCATAGCTGCATAGCTGTCGGGGCAGTGCCTAATCGATAGTATCGTCATTCCTCTCCCTCTCTCCTCCTCCCCTCCTTCTCCTCATCCTCTTCCTCCCCCCGTCGCTGTCCTCGCCGTCGACCTCGTACCATGACCCTCACCCGCCCTGTCCATTCGCTCCTCTGAGACGCCCGGGGGCCCCGAGGAGGCTCGGCGCAGTCGCCGCGACCGCCGGCCAAGCCCCAGCTCGGCGATCGCAATGGGCGCCAGGCGCCCTGCCCTGCCCAGCAGGGGCCCAGCAGCCAGCAGAGGGAAAGAGGGAAGCGGGGAGGGGAAGTAGGGAAGTGAAGGGAAGGGGGAGGGGTGATGAGGGAGGGAAGGAGGAGGTGGGAGAGAGGTGGAGGGGGGAGAGGAATAAGGCGAGAGATGGCGCCAACTGCACCAACTACACCAACTACACAGCACCCCATACCTACTTGAACATGTGCGCACAGTCCTTCCACTTAGCATCCACCGAACACGCGTCGCCCAAACGACTCGCCTTCCTCGCAGCACGCTTCGGCACGGCTTTGACCTGGTCATCTTTGGTGAACGGCGAGCGTTTCAGGATGATGTTTTTCTGCCCGAGTGCATCTTTTAGCGGGATCAACGTGTATATTGAAACCTGCGTGCTGATTACAGTATCCTCACCATTCGCCTCGGGATAAGCGAACTTCCAATTCACTGATGTTTTCTTAATTTGAACGTTGATCTCGGATGCTTTCTTCGCTTCGGCCACCATCCACGCAGGAACGAACTGTGCAGTTTGCTTCGGGTTGCCGAGGTCACCCATCTCCATGTAAAACGGCATACCAAATTGCACGCACACCTCGACTGCACCGTTGCTAGGGAGCCCACGAAGGACGTGCGCGCCCAGCTGTGCACATGAACACGGCCCCTCGATCCACGAGACCACCGCGTTGTACGAACACGAACATCTGCGCAGTGCGCACTCTCGAAACCAGCGTGGGTCCATGTACACGCACGTCCTTCTCTCACTCCCGAGTTGCAGGGATCACGACGACGACAACGGTAGCCGACGACGCGACGGCGATGATGACGAGACGAGTCGTCATCATCGCCGCATTGTCGTCGGCCACGACGACAAGACGGCGACAACTGCGACGGCGGTGACGCGACTGCCGATGACGACGAGCGGCGATGATGACTAACGACGTCCAAGACGATACCGACGGTGGCAACGAACGAAGACGACGACGTCGACGTCGACGGCGACGACCGCGACGGCGGCCGACGCCGACGAATCCCGCAGCGGGCCCCCGCGACCCCCCTCGTCTCCGCACTTCCAAAATAGCACAAAACCAAAGGGACCTGGGAACCTTGGCGGATGCAGCGTTTCTGGCCTGGGTTGAAATCTGTCTCCAGGGAACCAATCTCCACGGGGCCCCCTGGGGCCCCGGGGCCGCTGGGCCCCAAGGGGGCCACGGCCACGCATCGGCAGCGACGAGCGGGGGGCCGAAGGGGACTGCGCTGGAGGCCTGCACGGAGCCCTTCCTCGGCACGGCCGAGATCTTCCCGCTGAAGTTCAGCGCGATGGCGCTGGTCAGCTCCTTGGCCATGAGCGGGGCGTTCTCCTGGGGCGCCCGGGCGGGGGTGAGAGGCGCGCGGGGGAAGCGGCGGGAAGGGGGGGAAGGCGACGGGGGGGGGGGAGGGGGAGGGGGAGGGGGGGAGGGGAGGGGAAGGAGGAGGACTGAGGAGGGGGGGGAGGAGGAGGAGGAGGAGAGGAGGAGGAGGAGGAGGAGGAGGAGGAGGAGGAGGAGGAGGAGGAGCAGGAGGAGGAGGGGGGAGACGGGGAGGAGGAGGAGGAGAAGGAGGGGGCGGAGGAGGAGGAGGAGGAGGGGGAGTCCGAGGAGGAGGGGAGGAGGAGAGGAGGACGGGGTGGGTCAGACCAAACAATAGAGACGCAGGCCCCTGGGCCATGGCATGTCCAGAAAGCCTCGAGGATATGACATTTTTCTCATATCCCTCGGGTTTTTGCATGTCCGCTGTCGCCAGCAATTGTTCGGGCGGAGGAGGAGGAGGAGGAGCAGGAGGAGAAGGAGGAACACGGCCCCCCATCGATCCTCCTTCCAGTTGCACTGCAGGATGTCTAGGCCGCCATCCGTCGGCACACCGAACCTGGACTGCACGTTGACGTGGGCCATATCGTGGATGAACGCCTCCAGCCGCAACTCAAAGGATCGCATGATCGGACCAGTAGCACCACCTTCGCCACAAATCCAACTCAACCGGATCTGGGGCACTGTCTGGAACTCCGCCACCGCGACGCTCTCCGCAGTCGTCTCCACGGTTGGCCCCTGTGACTGAGACTCGGTCGTCAGCTTCGCGTCCTGGGTATCCTCGTCCTCCTCGTTGCCCGACTTCGCCTCGGGCGGGGCGTCAGCGGCCGTCTCGGACGTCGGGGTCGGGGCGCCCTCTGTGGTCTCCGGCGCGCCTGACGACTTGGCCTGCACTGGTGGGGTGACCAACTTGAAGCGGGTGGCAATTGGCCACAGCGCATCCTGGGACTGCAAGCCGTTGTCATCCCGAACTGCGGCGAGGAACTCCTTGACTTTACCATCCAAGCTCGCTTGGAGTAGACAATGCCAAGCGTCAACCCAGAACGCCTGGTCGCCACACGCACCAACGCGCAAGTCGAAGTCGGCCACCTGGTCTTTCAAATCAAGAGAACGCAAGGCTGGCATAGCAAGGGAGTAGTCCGTCTCGATGAAGCCGTGCTCGCCGCACGCGCAAGACTCGAGCAGAGCCACTACCAACTTGGACCTCATGGAAAAGAACTTGTCAACAGCATCAGCGTCCTGCAAAACTCCCGAACTGACGTCTTCGATGACCAATGGCGCCGTCGCTGTAGCTGCTGCACTGTCTGCGATGGCCGCGAGGATGGCGCGCCCCCAACAAGCGTACTCTTTATTGAACCCAACCCGGAACATGCTGAGGCAGATAACGGCCAGGACGTCGTGCAACGTAACAGCATCTCCCCTCGCACAGCGGGCAACGAGCACCTTGCCGACATTGGTGCTCTCAGCAACGTAGATGGGCTGAAACCTCGCGCGCGGCTGGTCGGTGATCTGCTTCTTCAACTCCCACATCTGCTGGATGAACTCGGGCTTCGCCTCGAACTCTGCGAGGGCGCCCGCGCCGCCGGCACGCCCCGTCTCACCATCATCTGCGTCGTCATCGGCAGCCAGCTGGGCGACAAGCCTGTTCGCGAGCTGCTCCGACCACGGAACATTATCCGCGCCGCCCTCGGCCCCCCCGGCACCCTTGCGCTCTGCCTCAGCATCGTCGCGGATTTTGCGAGCCTGCTCGTCGGAATCGCACAGCTGGGCGACGTGGCCCTTGATCATCTCGGCTCGGATGACTTTGCGAACCTTCGACCACGCACCGAAGGTCTCGCCATTGATGGTAACGGTCTTGGCCCACAGGAACTGCAAAGAAAGGCGGAGCCCTCGGCGCACGGTGGGCACGTCAATCTTGTCCTCGGGAACCATCTTAAGCGGCCCAAACACGCTGGCCGCTATGAAGTCGAGCGCCGTTGCCATACGACCGTCGACCTCGGCCTTGACTTCCTCGAGCGGGATGGTGCCGTCCTCAGGGTTGGACGTCCTGGCTTTCTTCTTTGGCGGTTGCTTTCCAGCGGCAATCGCCGCTTCGACTTTCTTCTGATACGCCTGCTCTTCCTTTGCTTTCTTCTTTGCAGCGGCCTCTGCCTTCTTGGCAGCCTCGTTCTTGGCCTTCTTGAACGTCGCAGACGTGCCCATGGGGCAATCCATCCACGAGACTCGCCTGTGCGACTGGTCATCTGACAGCAGCCACGGATAGTTGGCGGCCTCGGCAGACGACTTCTCGTACGGCATCGTGAATTTCAGCCCCTCCATGACCACGAGCTTCTGCATAAACATGGTGAGGTAGTCCTTCTTCTTC